TGAGCTTCGGTGTCGTATTCTTGCAAGTATGTCATAGAACCTAAAACTACAATATTAAACTGTAGGTTGTTTATACAAACTTCCAAGTAAATTACAGTACTTAATAAGGTGATGGATGTAAAAATGATCTCAATATGATACTTTCAATTAGTTCAGTTATATTGAGTTCTGAGCCCAATTAGTATATAATTTAGGATTAGGCCTAGACGCGCACGTATTAGGATGCAACGTTTGCAGCGTCTGGCAACTGTTAAAGGCATTGTCCAGGTCAACTTGGGGGTATTGGGGTCTTGCACAGTGTGAGAGCACCGGTCCCTGACTAACGCAACAGTTCAAGTCCGATCGAAAAAGGTGGAATGTGAAGCGAGAAAATCGCTTCGGACGGGTTTGCAAGAAAGGGGGCGGTACTCCAGCCCTTGACAGTTTTGACATGGCGAAAGCTCAAAATCTAGTGTATTGGCCACGTCAAAACTTGTCAAGGAGGCGGGATTGGAGTACCGTCCCCTTAAACTTGTCCAAAGCAATTTTCTCACTTCAGATTCCACCTCTTTCAATCGGACTTGAACTGTTGCGTTAGTCAGGAGCCATGCTCTCAGACTGACATCCCAATACCCCCAAGTTGATCTGGACAGTGCCTCCAAAATGCAGAAGATGCTATCGACAGCACTGTCATGAGAACACTGCCATATCGCGCGGCCAAGACCTTCGGTGAGGACCTTAGATTTCCAAAAAAAGGATCGAAAAACATGATCACTGCAGAAACACAAAAACAAAATCGTAAACTATAATAGAATCATAATCTTTCAGAAATAGAGGGAAAATGTTGTGAACAAAAAGGAGGATTGAAAAACATAACTACTGCAAACGCAAAGAAAAAAATTCCGCAAGGTAAAGCTATAATACTCAGAAATAAATAGAATAAAAAGTCTATCGAAGCTGTGATTCCATAAAGTGCGATAAGTGCTCAATCATTAGTTATATTTAATGCTACTTTTATGCGATGTATTCATTAAAATAAGGCTGGAAGAAAAGACAACAAAGAAGATGAAATTACCCTGCACACCAATGAATTCAAATCGTTAGAACTTTCATGTAACGTACCAAGATCCGCTCCTTCGAACGCAGCCCGACCGAGGATACGATTGAGCACAATAACGTCATGATAACCAAGATTGACACCTTGACCGGCCAGTGGATGTATGCGATGTGCTGCATCACCAATCAGCACTGCGCGAGGGTGTATATACCTAAAAAAGCAAATAATCGAACAAAAAGTTTCTGTTTTCAAGGGTGATATGCGCAAACAAAAGAGTTTGCAAATTTTGAGGTGACATACGTGTGAGCATGCCCGAATCCCAGCGGATACGCTGCTCTTGAATCACCTTGCAGCTCGATAACATGGGGCGGCTGCGGTGTGGGCATCGTATTCCCAGAGAGGAAAGGCAACTTTGAAAACGCAAAGAGTGCTTTGTTGACTAAATCGTTCTGATCTTCCTCGGTAAACTGAAAACACGTTA